CACGCCGGCGGATGATGAGATGTACCAGCGGACGCGGGTGATGGTGCTGGAGCCGGAGTCCCCCAACATCATGTTCATCGAGAGCTACAGCACTCGCGGCTTCACCATCAGCGGAGACGTGGTGGTGGGGCCCTGCGCCGTGCTGCCCCGCAGCATCCTCCAGTGGAACGTGAGTGCCCGGCGGCGGGGCGGGGGTTGCCGTTCCCAACCGCGCACCGGGGACAGCCCCCTTCAACGCCCGCCGTGTCCCCGCAGGTTGGCTCCCACCGGGACATCTCGTACGAGAGTCTGTCGCTGTTCCGGCTGCTGGAGCCCCAGATAGGTACGCGGTGCAGGAGGGGCGCGGGCTGCCCTCCCTTGGGGCTCCTGTCGGGGTGGCTGTGCGGGAGCCCTTGGTCCCTCCAGGGAGGGCAGGTCTGGGCCGAGGCAGCTCGAATGCTGCCCTGCCCACCTTTGTCGTTCCCTGGTTGCAGAGATCCTGGTGCTGGGCACAGGGGACAGGGTGGAGCGGCTCCACCCCGCCACGCTGAAGCAGATGCGGGAGTGCGGGATTGCTGTGGAGGTGCAGGACACGGTAAGGACGGATGAGCACAGGCAGCACCCCATTGAAAGGGAGGGAAGGGGTCACCTCGTGGGGAAGAGCCGACTCCTTTCTGAGGGACAGAGTTTCACTCACCCCCTTTTCTATTCACAGGCAAACGCATGTGCAACCTTCAACTTCCTAATGAATGAAAGGCGCTTGGTGGCTGCTGGGCTCATCCCCCCGCGAGGCACCAGCGGGATGTAGGCACTGCGTGCCTTGCCCATGGGCTGAGCCGTTCTTCCCCTGCCTGCCTGAAGCCCCCGAGGGTCACTGCTCTCAACTGAGAAATGCTGCCTAGTGTTTCTGTGGAACTGCCGGCTGGGTGATGGCTCTGCGAACAGGAGGGCTGTGAAATACACGGGCTTACCTCTTCCCTGCAGTCCCTGGCTTCTTGGCCTTCCTGCCCAGTGTGGGCTGGGGACCGTGGGGCACAGTACAAGGCCTTGCTGGCAGCACTGCTCCCACAGCCCTGCCAAGATCATGCCCCACACCTTGGCAGCAAGAAGTCTCACCTGAGGGAGGGTGAAGGGTGGTGGGGTGAGCTGTACACCCCCCAGGCACATCTGGGGCTCTACAAGGAAAATATATGTAAATAGGAAGTACAAGAAATTGTGTGGTTAATGCACAGCAGACTGAGGCTGTAACAATTTGATGGGGCATGTGCTCACCTTGGGCACGGGGCAGCGTGTGTGGTGCTGGGATGCCATGTGCCAGCAGCTTCCTGAGCGCAGCCAGCCCAACAACTAGTATGTCCCAGCTGGTGCTGGCCTGGCTTGTGCTCTCCTGTGGGGCTTTGTACTACCCCAGCACCAATGTCCCTTGGGCAGTGTGGGTCCAAGGGTGCTGCACCCACTCTGATTGAAGGCTCAGCTCCAGCAGGAGCCATGGAAAGGGTCCCTGTCCTGTACCCCACTGTTTGGTTCATGCTTAGGGATGTCACCCCTGGAGAAGAGTACATGTACCTAATGGAAGGCTCGTGGCCTGAACTCTGCCACCTTGGCAGGCAAAGGCAGGGGGTGCAGGTGCAAGGTTAGGGTGGCTTTGCTTAGCAAGTGTCCTAATGAGTGTGTGACACCAGCTCTGTGGCACTGTAGTCAAGGCTCTGGTTTTAGTGTATAAATCAAATCTGACATCCCCAAACCACTGACACACTCTTCAGCAGCAGTGATATGTGGGATATGTACAATTGATAGAGGTGTGAAATATTTCTTGGCTCCTGGCATTGCAAGCACAGGTAAACCTGCCAAGCCAGGGAAGTTAGCACTGCTCAGGCCTGCAGAAATACAGACCAGCTCCTTTATAAACTTGTGCCCCTCCCAGTGCATTATTGCTCACTTTCCAGCAAAAAATTGGTCTGTTGCAGCCCGGGCAGGTAATCCACAGTGAATAGCCCAGGGTGGTGCAGCCACTGGGCCTGAATGTGTGGCAGCTGCAAGAGGTTTAGGGGAAGAAAGCAGGAACAGGGGTGGCCTGCAGCATCCTGGCTGCTGCCACAGCTGGGCTGGGCAACTCCCAGCAGCAGATAATGGCCTCGTAAAATGGTTTGATTTCTTGACTAGCTGCTCAGCCCTTGTTTTCTGCTCTCAGGAAGGATTTTTAAAGAAGCCATGCCGTGTTACCCACTCAGCCCTGTCTCAGGGTTCTCCCCTCCAGGTTGCCCTTCACATGCATGAAGTTCCTTTCTGCAGTTATCAGCTGCCTCTGACAGTGTGGGAAGCAAGGGACAGAGCCAAAGAAGGAGAGCAAGGGAGGTAAAGAAGGAAAAGGGGCTCCAGGCTGACACCAACTGCACATTTTTTATTTTTTTATTGTAAAACATGGCCAACATGTGCAAGGCTCCAGCCCAGGGTCACAGCTCCTGGGTGGAAGGTGGGCCCCATGGGTGGTCGAAAGCAGCCAAGGGACAGCGGGAGCTCCGGGCAGCCCAGAATAATGGCACTTCTGCAGCAAGAGCAGCTCCCACGCGTAGCAGCGCAGGGCTGAGTGGCACAAGGACAGACAGACGGATCTCTTTCAGAAGAGGCGCTTCTCATACCTGCCAGGGAAGCAGAACCAGGGTGCCCCTTTACTGACCCACCTCACTCGGGGCAGGTACAAAGGTGCAGTATGGAATGGATTCTGCCAGCCCAGAGAGGGGACCAGCCTCAGCACCCTGCCACGGCTTGTGCCAGGGCAAGCCAATGAATGGCACACCAAGCCAAGGGCATGGCAGCTGAGGTACAGGGTGGCTATTCCTGACCCCCAATACCAACCCCAAGGTGACAAGGATCCTGCCAGAAGCACTTACGAGTGAAGGCCGTGCACCCCTCCTTCAACCTGGGCAGACGTTGTCCTCTTCTCAAATTTCAACTCTCCCGAGTACATCATGGCCCTGAGGGGGAAGGACACTTGTCACAAGTCAGGCAGAGTCCACGAAAGACAGTGCTCTGGCACATGCTCAGCTGGAGCAGCTGGGATGATGGTCACTGGTTCCTCCAGCTGTGGCCAGAATGGTCTTTGCTGTGCTCCCAAGAACCAGGCTGGGTAATGTAACCCCAACATTTTGAGCCCAGTCAGCTGAATATGCCACAAGAGACCATGCTCCTGCATCCCTGGGGCTGGCAGACATTATGTAGTGCCCACTGGAAATGAGGAAGAGCTACAAACTATCCAGAACACACCACAGCTCGAGTACAGCTGCCCAGGGACTCCAGACAGCAGCACCATGACTTAACCCGAGTACAGGCATGGGGAAGCACTCACCGGACTTGCGTCAGGCTCTTGGCACCAATATCCTGGCAGGAATGCTGGATCCCAGCAATTAGGTATGGAATGAATTTATGGATAGAGCCCTTGTCTTGCACTGCACCGGAGACCCCCTGGGCCACTTTAATTTTGTCTGTCTCACTGCATGGAAGCACAAATCAAGGGTATTTGTGAAGCAGAGAATCCCCAAAAGCTTGATCTGCTGCCCCAAAGCACCGTCTCTGACCTGAAATACCGATTCTGGCTGCCCAAGTTCTTGTCCATGGCATCTAGGGAGCCCATGCCGCGGTATTTCTTCAGCCTGATGCCATCCGAGAAGAAGTACTCGCCTGGGGCCTCCGTGGTGGCAGCCAGGAGGGAGCCCATCATCACTGGCACAAGATACCACCAGGAACAGCACGTCAGCAGCAGTGGCAGTGGATGCAGAATCCCTTAGGGCTCCTGGGCTCAGCACTGGCTGCAACCCCCATGCCCCCAGCCACCTGCAGGTAAATTCCCTCACGCCCAGTGTGATGCCATATGGAAACACCTCCTTGGAGATTCCCTACAGTGGTGCTCACCTGTGGAGGCACCAAGTGCCAGGGCCTTGGCGATGTGCCCAACCGTCTGGATCCCTCCATCGGCGATCACAGGGACGCCGAACCTCCTGGCGTACTCGGACACCTTGTACACCGCCGTGGCCTGGGGACGGCCGCACGCCAGCACTGTGGGACAGAGCACACACAGGCTCAGCTCCATGCAGCCCCACACCAGTGTCCCAGCAGGCTTTTTCAGGCTTCCAGCACACACATGCTCCAGCACTCAGAACGCACAAATCCCTGGATACTCCTTCCCTAGGCTGAATTGCAAGAGAAGCAGATGCCTGGGAGATGCCTGCTGAGACGTCCTCACAGCCCGTGGCTCCAAAAAGCTGTGAGTGACCTTGGGACTGGGGTCTTTTGATCAGATGCCTGGGATCAGACGAGACTTGTGGCTCAATCCTGGTGCACGGCAGATTTGAGGAGCTTGGGAAGGAAATAAAGCGAACTCCAAAAGCCCCTCTCCAAAGCATCCCTGGCATGTAAGCAATGTCCCACTGCTGGCTCTCTCCTGGAGCTGCCAGACCCCTTGTCCATACACCCAGCATCTCTATGATGCGCCTCTTGAATGGAAAGGCAGTTGGCTGTGAGAGAGCTCGTATGACTGTATATGGTATAGATATAAATATATCTATACATACAGGTCTGCATACACACACAAACACACATGCAGCAGTGGAAAAGGAAACAGGCAGAATGGTTTGATAATAATTTATGTTCCTGCCCTGCAACATAGCAAGGATTCCATCAAGTTTAGTTGCCCCGTGAGGAGAGAATTATTAGCTTTGGATTTACTTGTTCTTCCCAGTCAGTAGCAGTTAAGGAAAACCAGAAGAGGGCACGTTTTGTAACGTGTTTGTCAGCCACAGGCATGCAAGAACACTGAGATAAGCTTCTCTCAGGGAGACGTCCCTTCCCCACCATCATCTGGAAGCCTTTTCTCCAGTCATGGTTAGCCCCATAAACTGGGTAAGATTAAGGCCATACAGTATTAGTACTTTGGGGAACTCCAGGTGTGGTTCAGCCTGCATGGCAGCAGTGATGGCAGCATGTCCCTGGCAGAGGCCTGCGGGGCCAGGAGGCTACAGTTTCTGTACTCCCAGCACTCAGCAGCAGCTGATGAGGGAAGGCAGCTAGACTCCAGACTGAGACAGAACTAAATTTAATCAGACCCCAGCGTTCAGCTTGGGCTCAGCCAGCCAGGGAGAGGCTGCCAGATTTATCATCAATGCCCTTAAAGAGATGGTCTTGCATAGTACTGCACTGCTGAAGGCCACAGTGCAGCTGCAAAATGCTGCTGTGGAAGAGCTCTGTGGATAGAAACACCAATTTTTGAAGGGTTTTGAGTCCAAGGTCTATAGGATTGTGCCATAGACAGTGCAGGGCCTGCAGAAACCTCTCAAGCACAACAACAGAGATCAGCCCTTTTAAGGCACAGCTTGGCTCAGGGCCCCTGGGAGCATCGTGCCTCTCCAACTGTCCCAGTGCCCAGTGCCACAGCCCCAGAGTGCAGGCTTCCCAAGCAGGGTTCTGAGCACATACACACATCACACGGTCAGGGGGAGGGTTTGTCCTTTTGTGTATTCACAAAGGGTGGCCCTACAAAATCATCTGCTAGAGAAAACCTTCCAGGATCTGCAAGAGTAAGCCTTTCCCTTTGAGGTGTGTGAGAAATAGGAGAAAGGACAAAGCCCAAGGCTTGCCTTGCAGGGGCTGCTTGGTCAGAGCATCAGAGCAGAGAACACTGCACCCTGTGCTGGGTAGGCAAAAGCCCCTTTTCTCCACAGAACTTGGTGGGGAAAAAACAGAATGCAGCTGCCAAGGTGGCCAAGTGTAGTGAAGTCCCTTTGTAACTCAGGGGAGCCAGCTCCATGGGAAGCTTGGCCAGTTCACAACTTCCCCAGAACTGGGGCTACATTTTGAGCACGATCGAGAACTGCTCAGGGATTGCCTCCCTGATCAGCAGAATCAGTGATGAATCTGCAGATCAGTGCTGGATCAGCAGAAGCATGCCTGGCTAGGGATCCAAAAGGTGTAGTCAGGTTCCTAACTGGAT